GCGGTCTCGGGACGCGCAGCGCCGGGCTCCCTCGACGTGTCCGCGGCCGGTGTCGCCGCCGCCACTGCTTATGTCGCCGCGTCACCGGCCGGTCCCGCCCCGCGCCCCCGCAGAGCCCCGAGGGGCGGGAGTGGGGCGACTCGGCCCAGCGGCGGGCGGGGGCGGGGGGCCGCTCCCCAAATCCTGCAGCTGAGCCCCCGCTCCGGGTCGAAGCCTTGCAGTGTGACCCCCGCGCCCCGCGGCTGCCGTTCTGGTGGCCTTGCTGCCCCCGCGGGGGGTGCCCCGCAGTCGGCGACCCCCGGTTCCCTGCCGCCCACCCCAGCCGAGCCTCGGGACAGCGCGCACTCTCAGGCTCCGGCGCCCCAGTCCGCGCGCCTGGCGCCGGGCATCTTACGTTGTAAAAGGGGCCAATTAGCCAGGGGGGCTGCTGGGAGACCCGAGGGTGCCCGTGTCTCAGGCAAACGGGAGGTGCTGGCCCTTGGCAGGGCCCTGAGACCCGCTCACTAGTCCCTGTCCAGGGACCCTCTCGGGCTCTGAGCACAGGGCACCAGTTGAGGGCCTGTGTGACCCACAGGACAGGCTCTCAGAAGGGCGCAGGGCACCCTGTGCCAAATGGCAACAAAAATTACAGAGGAGAATGCCCCACACTGGTGGATTCCAGGACCTGCTCCTGGGCTGTCTTGTCATCCAGGCCCAAGGCCGGCAGTGAGGGACTCAGACCCATGGGTTCCTCCAGGACTCACAGACATGGAAGGAGACACAGGCTGGGCACCTCCAGGCTGGGCAGGAAGGGGAGGCACCGAGTCCAAAGCCTGATCCCTAAGCTCACACGTCTGTGTTGCTGTTGCTGTTACCTGCTGTTGGTTCAGCTCTGACCCATAGGGACCTGTGAACAGCAGAACGAAACCCTGCCCGGTTCTGTGCCAGCCTCATGATCCCTGCTCCACCTGAGCCCATCGTTGCAGCCACCGTGTCAATCCATCTCTTTAAGGACCTTCCCTCCCTCGTCCACCTTCCACTTTACCAAGCATGATAACCTTCTCCAGGGAATGGTCCCTTCTGACAACATGACCAAAGTAGGTGACACGAAGTCTGGTCATTCTCACTTCCAAGGAGCATTCCGGCTGCACTTTCTCCAGGACAGATTTGTTAGTCCTTTTAGCAGACTAACAAATTTACTCTCAGCATTCTTCTCCAACACCACAATTCAAAAGTATCAACTCTTCTTTGGTCTTCCTTACTCATTGTCCAGCTCTCACATGCATAAGAGGCGATTGAAAATACCATGGCTTGGGTTAGGCCACCTTAGTCTCCAAGGAAACATCTTTGCTCTTCAGCACTTGAAAGAGGTCTTTTGCAGCAGATTTGCCCAGTGCAATACATCATCTGACGTCTTGACTGCTGCTTCCATTGGTGTTGATTGTAGAACCAAGTAATATGAAGTCCTTGACAACTTCAATCTTTTCTCCATCCACTGTGAAGCTGTTTATTGGACCAGTTGTGAAGATTTTTGTTTTCTTTATATTGAGGTGTAATCCATACTGCAGACTGCAGTATTTAATCTTCATCAGTAAGTGATCCAAGTCATCCTCACTTCCAGCCAACAAAATTCTGTCATCTGTGTATTGCAGGTTGTTAATGAGTCTTCCTCCAATCCTCATGCCACGTTTTTCTTCATGTAATCCAGCTTCTAGATTATTTGCTCAGCATACAAGTTGGATGAATTTGGTGAAAGGATACAACGCTGACGCACTCCTTTCTTGATTTTGAGTCATGCAGTGTCTCTTGGTTCTGTTCGAACGACAGTCTCCTGGTCTATGTACAGGTTCCTCATGAGGACAATCAAGTGTTCTGGAATTCCCATTCTTCTCAATGTTATCCATAACTTGTTATGATCCACACAAGCAAATGCTTTTGCATAGTCAATAAAACACAAGTAAACATCTTTCTGGTATTCTTTGCTTTCAGCTAAGATCCATCTACATCAGCAATGATATCCCTCATTCCACATCCTCTTCTGAATCCAGCTTGCACTTCTGGGAGCTCTCTGTCAATATACCGCTGCAACCGTTTTTGAATTATCTTCAGTAAGATTTTACTTGTATGTGATGTTAATTATATTGTTCAATAATTTCCACATTTTGTGTGATCACCTTTCTTTGGAATGTCTACAAATATGGATCTCTTCCAGTCAGTTGCCAGGTAGCTGTCTTCTAAATCTCTTGGCATAACCGAGTGAGTGCCTCCCGCGGGGCATCAGTTTGTTGAAACATCTCAGGGGGTGTCCC